AGTTACAAAATGTAACAAGCACGCCTAAGGCAGTCTTAGTGGCGTGTTACAAGGCAGTGTCCTGGGCCTTTAACTATTCCTATTATATTGTAAGGACCTTTTCGATGTCTTTATATTTGGTAAGCCTTTTCTTTTTGCCAAATATATGAGCATTATTTACAATATTTACACTTTTAATCTCACTGGTGTCGACGATATTCTCAACGCAATCCAAGGTGACTTATACATGCTTGATTCATGATGTCGTAAGTGGAAGATGTCATTCTCCGTTGACAAATGCCACGTGGTATCCTACAGATGTGAAATCCCACCGGGTTCTCATACTTTCGACGGTAAACCACTGTCTCATTGCCATACTATCCGTGACCTCGGGATACACTACTTGAACACCCCCGGTGTATTGCTGCATGCTTACACTCGAATTTTATTTTACACTGACATTTATCAACGCATTCATCTCGGGAGACGCTCAGTAGATGATTCACATATATCGTGATTGCATCGTATTAACCCCAGCCATCCTACGGGGCCTGTCAAGCGCTCGCCTTTATCCCGTGGTAACTCATTGTTCATAGTTCAATAAATTCGCTGAGCAGGCCGGCCATACTGGAGCTCAAGTTCGTCCAAGCAAAAGCTTCTGTTCAAAACCTTCGCTTTAAAATAGGCAATTAACACCTGTACAAAATATAAACACACCCATTAATGTATTATGGCTCCATAATCTATAGTAAATTCAGAGTGAGTGATCGTATTGCACAAGAGAGAGTGCAACGGTCATTTACTAAACGTCTCACGTTCTCATATATGGATCGATGCATTACCCTATAACTTGATCCTTCTTGGCTGCACCGGATGAAACTTAACCTCATGGAGTTTTTGTTACCCTAACTAGAAAACTGCATTCCTCAAATCTGGTACTACAGCTAAAAAGTCGGCAATGTATCGCACCAGAAATAACAGCAACCAAGTACTAGTGGAAAAATCAAGAACTAAGTAGTCGAACAACTTTGTCCTTATGTCAACAGAGCAAGAAGAACAAACCTTTCTGCGGAATATTTTTAGGGCTACTCTGTCTGATGATGATCTTGAATGCTTCGCGGGGATTCTGGCACATCGAGCAGTGGAATAAGTGCCGGGCAACGGAGCTGGTAGGTAGTGTTGCGCCAATACCATGCCAATACAATGATAAAATTGCGGCCGCGTGGTTCCAGACTTCCTCGGATGTACGGGTTGCCGAAATTGCATAAAGATGGGATTCCAGTAAGTCCAATCCTTTCAATGGTTACAGCATCGCACCAGAAATTGGCACGATGGTTATCCAAGCTAATTAAGCCTATCCGACGTGAGTTGACGGTGCATAGCTTGAAAGATTCATTTGAGTTCGTTGAAATGATTCGGAATCTAAACGTGAGCGGTAAGCGAATGGTGTCTTTTGCCGTGTGTTCTTTATTTACGCATGTTCATTGAAAGAGACGCTGGACATCATAAGCATTTACTCAGGTAGAGTGGAATTTCCACCATGTCGACTAAAGAACTTAATGCGTACATGTACAAAATATGTCCACTTTTCTTTCAATGGAAGTGTCTATCGGCAGATTGAGGGTGTAATAATGGGCAGTCCAATTGGCCCCCTTTTGGCTGACATCTTCGTAGCCCATCTAAAGCACACCAAATTGTTAGTTCATCCAAGAAATACACTTTTACGCTCGATATATTGATAACACCTTTGTGGTGGTGGACGAAGCCCAGCAAGCGGAAAGCATGCTCAAAAGGTTTAATGAATGTCATCAAGAGATCAAGTTCACAACGGAAAGCGAAACATCAGGAATGTTCCACTTCTTGGATGTAGCTTTGCAAAGATCAGATGGGTTGCTCCTGAGATTAATTTATCATAAACCGAGCTGGACGGGGCAATACCTAAACTTTGACATCTACTGCCCCGTGAGCTACAAACGCTCCTTGGTTCGTGCGTCTCTTGTGAGAGCCCGCCGTATCTGTTCAGAAGAAACGATTGGGAAGAACTAAAGGATATCGCATCCACCGCATGTGAAAATGGGTACCCTGACAAGTTTATTGCAAGGTATGGGGAGAAAACCAGCCGCACGAAGAGCGAACTCAAGCTGCAAAGAAGAAAGCATTCATCGCACTGCCTTACAAAAAGGAAGAAGATAACAGACGTTTCAGCTATCGCTTACGTCATACCATAAATAGATGTTACCATACAGCTGAGCTTGTGTTGCTCTACAGAACTAACAAGCTAGTAAATGAATCCAATTTGGGTAGGCCTCACTCTACTGTCATCGCCTTATGTGTTTACTAGTTTAACTGTACTTGCGGTAGCATGTAACTTGGTCGGACAGAGAGGTTGTTTACTTGGATTTCAGAATACATTTCACGGAACCTTGTTTCAGTGGCGCAACACCCAACAAACTCCGCTGCGCGGCACTTACTCGACTGCTCGGAGTATTCAAGGTCATCGACAGACAGAGCAACCCCAAGTTGTTGCGTTTCGCTGATGCTTCCGCCATTCGGCGTTTGAAGCCTAACTTAGGCAAACAATTTGAGTTTGTGTCCAATCTTGCTTTGCTTCGGTGAGGCAAGACAGCGTAGCCAACACAACTAGCCATTGATTTTTGGTATTGACCTATTACTGCCAACCGTCTGAAATTTTTGTCCATTTTGTGTTAGCGGCTGAAGAAAATACACGAAATATACCGAACTCAGATTATTTCGCAGAAATGTTCGTTGTTCTTGCTCTGTTGAAGTTGTTGAAGGGAAATGGTCGTAGGACAACTTTTTCCTTAACCTGTACTTCTTAGTGTGGGACAGGCTTCCAACTGAGATACGTTAAATTCAGTCAGGGATAAATTTTCGAAAAGCATTATATTCATTTCTCAGGGGTGAAACAGTTATTGGTATGCTGAGACAATATGACAAATGAATGTCTTTACAAAATTGGATCGAGAGGTATATGATGCAAATGCCCGGTTTCCACTTTTTCGTCCGATTCGATTGATTCCACTACGGTTAGCAATGGTATCAACTTATGTTGTTTAATGACGCGAATTTTCCGCGTAACATTACATCTAAGCTTGCCAAAGCGAAAATTTGTTTTTATTTTTACGTTTTATTTTTTTGCACACGTTTTACACCATTAATTAGCCCTTTTTCCCGGGAGAGCACAACTCAAGTGCACGCTGCAATTTTTTCTACTCCACGAAATCCACATCGATTATAAATTATCTGCCTTTCGATTGGCTTCCACTGAGAGTACCAACCGAAAACCTTCCAATAGCTACACTGTTTCTATATATTTTGAACACTTACTCGTGCTCTTCGATTGCTCGCACAATCGGAAACAGACAACTGTCAGACTACATAATATGATAGCAAACCATTTAGCATTTACTCATAGTAGTTTCACACCATTTCATTACGTTTCCTTTCTTCTCATAAGTAGTCACAACGGGGCAGATTTCCTGAGGTGACGGATTGAAGTTACCAAGCTAATTAACAACATCCACGCAAGGCGAACTGCCACAGATTCAATGGCGGAAAAAAAGATGCTGAACTCAAATGAGTCGAGTGTTTGTAGGAGCTGAAGAACTGGAGGGTCTATCTCTCTACCTACCTATAAGAGCAGCTCCAAGGAGGAGTTAACACTTTGTTGATCAACTTTGCTTTCTAGCAACATTGATTAAATGACGGTTCACAACGGCGGCAATCAAAGAAGTGTCTTCCTCATGACGGTCTATTCCTTACAGCAGTGGCCAAAATACGAGTCAACATGATAACGGCTAACTTACTATTTAATCGTATCAGCACATGGCCAAATGAGGTTTGGAAGTGCGGATGAGACCTCTTGAGGGACCAGGAGACGGTTCCGCGGATGGTCCTATTACGTTAGTTGAATTTTTGGCTATGTCTGCATTTATTCCTACACTCTACATTCTATACTTTTTTTACTTTAACTTAACAGAACACTGCAAAATTCACCAGGGAATTACTTTGTAAAACACAGAACTCTCTCTCTACCATCCGATTATGTTATACAGAATGATCAGAACACGTACCTGGCTTATGTCTAGCATCGTCAATAAACAGACCATTTATTTGTTTAATGTTTGGGTTGTGCCGTCAAGTTAGATTTGGTTCCGTTCAGGTCAAGTTCACCGCTGTCGCTAACAGTCATGTGTAACAGCTTTTAAGATCTGCTAAGGTTTCATCCTTCCTTTCTAATAAAACAAGCACAGCTCCATTAACTGGTACCGAGTTGTCGTCAAGTCATTCAATTTGCCAATTGTGCGATGCCGTTCTATGGCACGGTACATCAAGCTGAAGCATTAAGACTTTAGCGGAATCTCCAGCGAGCCATTGTCCATACGTCTAGACCACCATACTGATGAGTCTGTTTGCGCCGTTTTCCCTTTCAACCATTACCCGTGTATGCGACAGTTCAATACTTGAAGTCCAGTGTGTTAGCCAGCGTATTAGCATATTTTAATGTCGTCAATAAGAATACTTTGATTTATCCGCCATATTTTACTTTATCCTGATATAAAGTAACTGCTAAATACCAACTCAATCACATAAACAACTGCGTCGCATTAACTGTGGCTTCTCGGTGTACCACATGGTGGACATTGTACAGGTATATCACCGAAATTTGGTAAACTGAACAATATTTTGGTTTCATTGTGGACTTTTTCTCACTTCATGCACGCAAAGTTGACTAAACATCCCAATGAAAGTTTCCCGTCACAAATTCTTAACTAAATCAGCAACTGCTGGTATGCCACTCCATATCGACTGGTCAGCAACGCTTTCAAATGCGGCTTACCGTGCCTTTACACATGGACGAAAACATTTAAGTCAGTTACTCGGCTCAACAGTTGCAGCATCCGCAGCATGCATCAGTGACTGGTATAAATTCAACTGTCAAATGGTAAGACACTGAAACCGCTGCGAATCTCCATCTTACATCTGTAGCACGCATATGTGTACCTTAGCTTCTTCTTAAACTTTATTATAAAAAGGTAGCTACGCGAATCTAAAATGTAAACGGGTCTTGTATATCCCGAATCGAAGATAATACGTATATATAAGATGAGAGCATAGGACACCAGATGATATTTGTTCAAATGTCGAGAACAGTTGCGGACGCAGTCATCGACTGACTGATATACTGTAAGATTGGCAACGTGCGATAAGGATATTATTTTTTACCCAGCGAACAAATTGTGTTCATGCACAGCGAAAATGAATGATTACCAAGCGCAAATAGTAAAAAAGATACCTAAATTGCGGTACCATAATAGAGCACAAGAAATGCCCAGCTCTTACGCTTTGGAATTTGTAGTCGTGAGTTTTTGGTACAAATATCTTATATCGCAGGTGCAAAGCGGCCAGGCTGGCTGTAACTGTCATCGGTGCCTAACGGTCACGAGCTGGTGTACACGCCGACCACATGCCAGCCATATGCTGATGTGGGACACAGTGCTAGAATCAAATGAACTGGTAAGCTTCACGAATACGCTTTCAGTTCATAGGAATTAAGCGTGACCGCATTGTTTGGTAGCAAAGCATCAAATTGAATTTAATGAGAATAACCGCCCGTCGGGTATCAAAACACGCGGCATGAAAATGAGACGAAGTTTAAATGGGAGAAACAGCGAGATAATGGAAGCAATGAGTAAAGTTTCATCCTCAAACTTGAAATGCTTCGCAAGCCGACATGCCTCGAGACACTGGTCGCAAAATAAAAGAAATTTAGATACAAAACAAGATGAAACATTGAAGGCAAAAATAGTGGAATAGTGCAAATGAGTTGCGAAGTAATGCGTGGATTGAAACTGCTTGACTAGAAATCACTCGGGTACGCTCCCTTGTTGTTGCAGCGTGACTCGTAGATCAGCCAACCGAGCAAGATCCACGGCAGCAATTTGGTCATTAGATTCCACAGACCGCAGTTGTTCATCTTTGGTATTGAATGAGAACTTGCTCAGATGCTCAAACATTCTGTGTACTGGTTGCGTTGCTGATGAGTCGTCTATGGACGCGGTTTGTCGAATGGTCAAATTAATTGGCGATTCGTTTGTTTGACTATGAATGACGTCACACTCTTCATCCAACTGGGCCTGTTTTGTGAAGGTCCTCGAGCGTTTATCATCCACCATATTTGTGCAGGACCTTTGTGAGCCGTTTTCGCACACGTTATGTGCCGGTTTTACATTCTCTACCTGAGATGGAAGCCATTTACTTACAGGTATGGATGCTTCCTCAAAGTGGATTTCTTTCGATAGACAGTTCCAGTATTTGGAGTGAATGCGTGCTAACCGGAGTATGCTGTGCACGGCAGTAGGAATTGGTGCGCGTCGGAGTTCGGTTTCAGTTAAACACATTAGTTTCGATTCGCCAACTGCTTGATCATTATAATTAGTGTGTTCGGATGCGGCTAGTAATAGAGCCCTGACGCAGGCTTCTGTGCATTCACAAAGACTTTTGAGATCATATCCCCCCTCAAGCGCCAACACAACCCTACCGTTGGCAATCTTCTTGTCACATAAGAGCCGAGTCATCCAACCGAATGTCGCTGGACTGACATTGTAGCCACCTAAATTGGCCGGATGTCCAGGAGCAGCGTCAAAACCTGCGGAAACGAGCACCAGATCTGGATTGAACTCCATGGCCACTGGCAGAACTATTAGTCGAAATGCTGTCAGATATTCAGCATCTGCCATCACCAAACCTGAAGGCCAAGCAATGTTTATTGTGTATCCAACCCCAGGTCCTGCTCCAATTTCCTCGGGAGAGCCTGTACCAGGAAAGAAGTAGCCGTCATCATGCCGGTGTAAAGATACGTAAAGCACTGAAGGATCAGAGTAAAATACAGTTTGAGTTCCATTCCCATGATGGACATCCCAGTCAACGATGAGAACTCGCCTCGCTTGGATAGTGTCGGTGAGCATCTGCTCTGGTGATCTCAAGTGCCCTTCAAGGTTTTTCAATAAATCACATCGGGTTGCCACTGGTGGATGAAAATACTGTACTTGTCTGGCGGCAATTGCAACCGAGTTAAAGTAGCAAAATCCCATGGCCTGCGAAGGTTCAGCATGATGTCCGGGAGGCCTGATGAGAGCAAATCCGTTGGGATATTGCCCGGCAAGTACTCGACAAGCCAAGTCAAGCACACATCCAGCTGCCAGTCTGGCAGCATGGGCGGTCTGCCCGGCGGTATTCCACGCTGTGTCCGAGTCTACACCCACTCCACCGCAATTTAATCGACACAGCCGGACGGTTGCCAAAAGCGATGGGGCTATGCGACAACGATTCGCTGGATCGCTGCCAAAAAGGATGGTGTATACACTTCTGTGCGCCCATTGCAGCTCCTTCAGTGTGGCCCGGCGGCCAGGTTGATGGTGGCATTTGGCGGCCAATCCGGTGTCCTGTATCAAAGGAAAAGTCATGAAAACATACAATTATGACCTTAGTGAAGACAAACACATCCACCAGCACGGGTCAAAGGACTAGAAGTAAGCAAAGAACGTCCATAAAGCTATAGAAAAATAGGATTCCATATCATGGACAAACAATTTACTGTACATCTACATTTACGGTCTAGAGACAAATGCACACAATACAGTAAAGGTTGTAATGCAAAACGAATGCACAGAAAGGCTACTTAGGTGGAGTAGATTGTATGTCCGCAATCTTCGCTCTTTTGCTCTTATCAGAGGTGTCAAATTAAACTAGGAGGAAGATAGCTATCGGGTTAATTAGAATGACATTCCGATTCCCGTGCGGCAGTTATATGCACATCTTCGGTGTTTTTTCGAGGGCTTTGTAGTTAACCAAATCATATTAGCTCTGTACATCAGGATATCAGTATGTAATGGCTGCCCACTTCCACTGCTTAAAATGCACTATCGCCAACACGCGCTCCAACTGGGTTTCATAGGGCTATAACTTATGTATATAAAACGTTTCCAGTTATTACACTTGTACCGATAAGATAGTGCGAATCGAATATGTCTACCAGCTTCCGTCATCATCCAGCGTTGTTTAAACCGCTGGTTCAATGCTTTGCGTGTACCTGAATAAATCAGAACTTTACCAAGATTTAAGCGTTTATCCATCATCAACATGGTAGCATGTAGCACGTGCATGAAAAAGCGAGTAATCAAGGTCCTAAAACAGTGTTTGGAAAAAAAATTCAGTTCATCACTTGGTTAGGAAGCCCGCAGTATATGAAACCCAATTAGGGGCTTCCATATGTTTCCGTGAATATATCGCACAAATTACGGAGTGAAGACAAAAGGCGTAGTCTCCCTACATGGGTGTATGTAAGTTGGTAAAGTAAAGACCTTAAATTCTCGACACTGTGATCCCTTTCATAATCATCAAACGGAGATCCCCCGTATACAAGTGTACAAACTTAATTCAAAAAAGGTTACTGTGAGACAGTGTAACTCAGATCCCATTGACGCTCGTTTCATTTCAGTAGTCGTAGCAGTCTGTATATATCCCCGGCTTGCCTGTGCAACATGTTAACTAAAATTACTATTTTCTTGTCTACTTAGGCCATCGGTAGGAATTATTGAACTGCATGGTGACTCCGATTGTACGGGAATCTCCATCTTATTTGGCAGTCAATCAATTCGCGAATTGTGATTGCTATTGTGCTTCGCATGTCCGTACAAATGGCAGCATCGCTCTTCTATAGCTAACCCAGCTGGGAACCTTTAACGGCACAGAAAGCTTCCTTGTACTCAATTTTCCTTCTGGAAACGTCATCTGAGACCAAGCTAACTTGGTGACCCCGACACTGGAAGGATCTTAACGCCAAACGTCTTGAATCTGCTCCGATGAGTTCCTTCCAGTTATTTTCCCATATTTCCAGTCTATTGTTACCTACGTTAGAACTTTTGATACCATTTTCACAGTGGGTTCTGCAGACAACTAGGCAGTAGCTCATGCGGTGGGTGTTATATCACACACAATCCCAACTTTTTGGTATATGGGTCGGTTCGCTTATATACAAGCTCAGGTTTATGATAAATATACCAAGCTCATGTCTATCACATGTGCAATAAAGTTCAGGCCCTAACCAACACATTTGGATGAACAAAAACCATAAACGCACGCACACACACACACACAAAAGTAACAAGCTAATCGTGTTCCAATGAATGAATGCCGGATGCTCTGTCAGTAGTGAATTACATAATCCAAACTTGTTCTCCATACCGTGGGTTCTGAGCCCGTATAGAGCATAGGCTCTCGTTCATTTACTTACTGTGACTAATAAATATCATACGCCACTAACTCACTGACACATGTAGGTTGTGAGACCACCTGTTGAGAACAGTCTTACAGGAGCGCGTCCTTTGCGTGGTGATGCACGACGACCACGATTGTGCAGCTCGCTATTTGAAGGTGTTATATACCGCTAACCAACATGTTGGTCTCTTACGGAGTGCGTTCGGGTGGTTCGACCCCTCAACACTTATGTGAGGACCCATATAGATTATGCGATTCAGGGCTGACAATCATGATTAAACGCGATCGAGCTGCACTACAATCAGCACAATGATGGGCAACCAAAAGGGTGAAGATTGGTTCCACGTGCACAACAATTCTTCTGAAAAGTTTAGGAGCATACTGCGGAGGTCTTCGCCTTCTACGGGTAAACCTCATTCAGCTGTACCAGATTATGGACACGGTTGCCGACATCTCCTGAAACTTGGCGGCAACGCAAAACTGAGCTGATACCAGCTGAAACTGTGCACCCAATTTATTCGGCTGAAATACCGCCGGAATTATTTTTCTTTTTGAATTTGTCGACCATGGAACGCTTATTCGACCTTTGGCATTTCGACGCTCACACTGCCTATTATTCTTAAAATAAGCGACTCGACGATGAACTGCACCACCTGCATTAGTTGATTTGATTTCTGTTCATTAACTGCCGACAAGGCGCAAAGCAACCTTGTACTCACTAACCCCCACGAATCCGGTGTAGAAGGTCATATATGTTGAACTGCTGGTAGGTTCGCCGAGCTGAGCAATTTGATTGTAGTCGTGTCAGCACCAATCGAGGTGGCATCTTCAGTGCGTAATGACGAGCAGCTTGTTAGCAAATACTGAGCTTCGAGTAAGTCCAATGGTGTTAATTTGGCTATTTGGCGAGTCACAGATACACGTTCCACTTCATGTAACTAATTTGGTGAACTTACGCACTTCACAAAACCATCCCACGGGACCTGCAAGCCTTGGCTATTTTATCCGTATTATACCGTTGTTCCACTTTTTGAGTCTAATACACTTATACACTACAATTTAGAACAGCTGCCATAGGACCTGATAGCGTGTGTTCACTCAGCACTGGTGACAGTCGAGTGGAGTGCTGGTGATACTACCGGTTTTCACTCAGCCTGGAGAACAACATTATCTCCATCAACTGGGATTTGTATAAATGTGAACTAGACAGAGCAGTGGATAACTGTTGTTGTTAACAACTCGCAACACTGCCTCGCACTCAGGTTTGCCTTTCTGGTAGAGATAGCAAGATCGGGTCCCAAACACGAAACGTTGGGACGTCAGCTATTGTCTCTATTCTAAGCCACTGAGTCGTGGACAATGCTTGTCCCAAAGGCCCATGGCTCATTGGCGAGCGGCGCTCCAATAATGGTCGATTGGTGGTAGATCGTTGCACATGATAATTCAACTGCACCGTCTCCTCAAGTGTGTTGAAAGAATTAATAATTACTTCACCCTCCATGTTTATTCTGGAATGAAGGATATGCCAACTTGTTAACTGATAAACGCAATGCAATTATTTTGCGGTTAGCCATCTACTATGCACGCACTTTTGGGTAGCTCATTGCCCAAGATCGTACTCTTCTCTATGTGTCTTACGCCTTCAAAGTGCAAAATGCTGCCTGGGCATTTGGTTGAGACAGCAACAATAACCGTCCGGGATCATGCAATCGGAATACACTTTCAGTTAACTTTACCATGACTCTGCACCATTTCCAGTGGTTCTGGTGCTATTCTCAAACGCCTGTGCAGCTGCTTCACATATCTATGTAAGGATGGGGAATACTTGCTTACCAAGCAACAAAAGTGCGCACGATACATGCGATTTCGTCCGGCGATGGTGTAATATTCGTAGTGAATCGAACTAAGACATCTATTCCCCACCACCGCCTTCGCTGAACCTTTTTGGCAGGAGCCCAGATAGCAGTTCTAGAAAGCGGATCAAGTTGCAGGGAAGCTTTTCTCTTGTACAGTAAATGGTTCCATGTTTGTCTAAGTATGAAAAAGCAACACCGATGGACGCTGCTAGCTAGGAAGAATGAAATGAGCGCAGCAAACTGAGCGGTTGCGCGTTGCAAGCAAAACGAGCGCCAAAATAGATGGCGCTACTCGATTCGCACAATCGAACTCAACATGCAGCTCAACATTCCACACCAATCGCTATAGCGCACAATGAATTAGTAATTTTAGTTAGAATCTTACACAGGCAAACTAGGGTAATCTCTGGACTGCTACATAGTTCTCCTCCCGAAGGGACTGTGTAGGTAGTCCTTGAATCTACGTGAGGACTATCCGTCGCCAGCCAGCTTACTGCGAGGTACTCCGGACTCTGACCACTAACTTTTGTTGCTGGAGGAACTTTGCGATCCAGCTCAAGAGAGGGTCACCGATTCCGTAGAATTGGAGCTTGGAAAGGAGAATCCGATGATCTAAACGAAAGAATGTCTTCGATAAATCTAAGTAGATCACATCAACGGCCTCCCTAACATCAGCTGACTCGGTTTAAGTACTCCATGTTGTTGTGCATGACGAAAGCCGTATTACTCGGGAACATTAATGTTACAACGATGGATTCCATAGCATTGGATAGTAAATGGAGAAGAGATACTGGGCGGTAGTTTAAGGCTCAGCCCTGCCTTCGCTTTTGTGGTTCGGAGTTATTATTTCCTAGCTTCTACCTCGCAGGAATCTGGTTCGAGTCTAGTCAGCACTGAAAGATCTAGGCCATAAGTTTTCTCGATTGTCTTGCTGCTGCTCGCGCTACCTCTGGACAAATGGTATCGACTCCAGGGTAGCTGTGGTTGCGCAGAGACGTCAGCTTCTGCAATACAGCTTTAGCAGTAAAAGAGGTGTGAGTGAGCTCTGGATGCGGGAAAGCAAAAGATGAAATATCACGTGATGGTAAAACTCTCTGAAGTATGGTCCACAAAAGGACAAGAGCGTCGATTTGGATTGACCGTTCGCTGGATTGCTTTGTACCCATGCTATTGGACCCTAGGAAGCTCCCACCCGTTTCCTCCCTACAGTGTCCAGATGAACAGATGTTTGTAGGGGGAGGAAGTACATAAAGATCCGGGCAGCTGGCTGAGCGGGTAATTCGTTGCGCTTCGAGGTTCCGGGAGCTAAG